TCGACCACACAAGGCCTGTTGCATGCCTCTGCCAACGACTTGGAACAAATCAAAATAGTTAGAGGAAACGGACTGGAGTCCTAGAACGCTGGAAAATCTAGATTTTTGGTGCACCCGACGTTCAACCACAGTGCAAGAGCCGCTACGTCAGGTGTAGTCCAGATTCACCAGTTCTGGGTTCGAATCCAGCGCCTTCACACTGTCACCGGCTTGACTGTTTTGAGACTGTCATTTGGTGGTGTCTCCTGAAGCCTCCGTGGTTTGTCTTTAAAAAGACGTACCGGGCATCCTTCTGTTGTGAAGTGTCGTGGCCGCGATCACGGCTAATAGATCCAGCAACATGATCCACGTGAAGTTTGCGTCCACCCACCCACCCACCCACCGACCAGTCGATTTTACACCGTTTTTCAATTGCTCAACTTGCCTGTTTTCGCTTTCAAGGTTCCCTACGACGAAGGCAAGGCCCTTATTCTCTGCAAGCAAAGACACTTTGTGCCTGGCTGTCTCTACATCTGGACCAAGAACAAACAGTATGTTCGACCCTCTTGGTTGTCTGTCATTCGCAAAATCTGGGTCGGTTATTGCTCTGTGTGTGTGTGTGTGTGTGTGTGTACCAACGATTGTTGCTGGATTGTGATTGGTGCCCGTTTTGTACGACGTAGCCCTGATTATTGATTTTCGCATCGAAACCCAGTTCCTTGAAATAAACACGAAGCACAGTTCATATAGTGCTCAATTAGAGCAATTGCTTGCGATACAAACCGCGTGGTTTAACGGTTTTGAAGGGGCTTTGTAACGATCATAGTCAATCATGGCGGCGTGCCTAATTCTCGTCAAACCCGTCTTGCGTACTTTCCACAAGCTAGTTGCTTTCAAAGTTAGAAACAGACATAGGTCTTCCAAATCTTGGAAGATCAACACAAGATTAGATTTTGTGTTTGTTTAGCGTTTAACCAAGTTTTCGTGGCGTCGTATCTGATGCTTGTCGACTTTTTATATCTAATTATTGATAAATGATTTCATTTTTAAGTTTCGCACCAAAATATTACTTTTGCGCTTTAATCATTTTTTTAAAAGTGGATTTTTGTATTGTGTGAATTTTAAAGTGGACCACAACCACACCCCCACGTGAAATCGGATTTGCTCCAACTGACCAATCACAATTGAGCTTTATGGAGTTGACCAATCAGGTGCTGCCCATCATTTTCTTCACACACACACACCCTTTCGTGGTTTGTAGGTACGATCAGATATTGGAGCATTACATCCTCGAAAATGATTTTGAGTCGATAATGAGGACCTGCGAAGAGTACGGGTAAGTCTAGCCTTCGCAATTTGCCAGAAAAATATGCATCTTCACTAGACAAAGGGGATTGGTCAATCTGCACCATCTCTCCCTGCCTAAAGTGCATTCCAATCGACACGCAAATAATCCTTGGTCTTCTTTTTTTTTAAATTTTACTCCTGTTGATTGACTGGGATATTTGGTGCCCCTCCAATTGAATGCGGTTTAAGAGGCATCACATTACTCATACGGTCGATCGTTGCTTTGCTTTGTCCCATGCTGTAACGTGACAAAACGCCAAAATAAGTGCTGTAGAGACCAAATTAGTCCATTTTGGTTAGTTAAAAGTGTTGCTGATTCCTACTGCGGGAAACCACGGTTCCACGGTCAGATTGGAAGGTGATAGTGCGCTGATTGCAATTTTTGCAGTTTCGAGCATGTTTTGCTGGTATTGCTTGAACAGAATGCACTCAAAGTCCACCTTCTCGCAGCATCTTGCCAGCCGCGCAGATCCTCAACTCTCGCCTCATTAGCGCGAACGATTATCCGGGTTTATTGATGTTAGGTGCATCCTTTAATCACACATCTGAGGTGTAAATACACACGCGCAAACGCCACACTCGACACAACGACGCCAACTTGGTTGACGTCTGAAGTAAACGGTTGTGTACACGGTCTGTAGTAGCTTGTGGTTTTAGCCCTACCTTACAACGCGAGAATTGAGTGAGGAGAGGCGACGGAGGACACGACCGTTTACTAGCGTCACGCCAGCCAAATGTGTGTCTTAATGTGTGGATGAGTGAACGGATGACAGGCGCCTGGTAACAGTAACCAATAGAAATGGGGATGAGTCATTGTCACCGTGACGCCAGTAGACAGGGTTCACTCAATACCTCGTCCCAATCAAGTGGCTTCATCCGTCGCCATGACAGAGCCGGACCGCTGTCCAAGCATGCCACATGAACTCATCGTAGAAGCTCGTAGGGTTCAAAAGCCAACAGATTAGAGCACGCACGCGTTCTGGTCCCACTGTAGAACCCCCTATCCGCGCTGTTGTCTTCGTCAAACTGACTGAAGCCAGTGGCCACATCTACATTTACCCCACCCCTACCTCTCTACTTTTTTTGCAGAGATGAAGCGCCTTTTCTGTGGTTCGAAGCCTTCAAGTACACCGTCGACAAGCCCGAATTGGGTGACAAGCTACCCGCGATTCTTTCACGTACGTTTTCCGTGTTTTCATTCTATACCATCTTTTGCTGAATACTCTACATGTATTGGCCTTTGGTGCACGTTCGTTTATCAACGAAATTTCATCAGGACATCAGACATTTCAGCGTGTAGTAGCTAGGGTTTTAGCACTGCTTTACAGCCTTCTACTTAACAGCCCGTAACAACCCGAGATTGGAGTGAAGAGAGGTGACAGAGGACACGACCGTTTATTGGCGTCACGCCAGCCAAGTGTGTCTTAATGTGTGGATGAGTGAACGGATGACAGGCGTCTGATAACCGTAACCAATGAAAACGTGATGAGTCATTGTCACAGTCAGATCAGTAAATGGGGTTCGCTCAGGCGCGATCGCTGTTAATCCGCTACAAGCGACCTTCCCATTTTGTCTAGTCTCGAGGTGGTTGGCAGGCCTTGTCTGGAGATCTTCATTGTTGTCGAATGTGGTTGGTTTGTTGTGGAATATAGCGTAGCCTAGAAGTGTTCGCTGATTATATTTGATCTTAGCTGGCTTAGGATGCGGCCATCGTTTTGATGGCACAGTCGTGATTTTTGGTAAATGAAAGATGAAGACCCCATGAAATTTGTGTAGGTGGAGTTTTATTGTAGATCCTCGCAGCTCGCGTCGAGGTGTGTATGTGTGTTCTGACCATGTCTCTTTGCAATTTGATCAGCTACGGATTAAGCACACCCAGCTCCTTTTACTTGATTGGCTGGGAAATCCTGGGGTGTAACCCGATTGTGTGCCCGTCTACTCTGTTCAGTGGAACAGACGACAGTCAATGTCAACTCCTAGAGTCGAAACTTCTGGCATTTCGTTTGGAACTGGACCAAACTGAATGGAAGCTGCTCCTTTGAATGGTGGCAGCTCCAGTTTGATACGCGCGGTACCCTCAGCTTGATTGTTGGCATTTCCAAGATGGCATTCCAACGCCAGTCGTCTCACTCCCTCTAAGTTGTGAATGTTTGAAGTTCCTCCCTTTGGTTGTGGAGGTCTCATCGCCCTTGTTCCTGGTTCCTGAAATCTTCAGCGTAGAGTGTTCCTACCTCGTTCCTAAATCACAATTGCCAAACGTCTTGCTCTGACACTTGTGTGTGTCCAATTTTAGGTTACCCGGGAAACGTGGTGTTCCCTGTGTTTCTAATATCGAAGGTCAACTGTGCAAGCACCAATAAACGAAGCGTCTAACAATCCGTAAGGCTGTGAATGTCTAACTGAGGCGTTGCCACTAGAAAACTGAGTCAGTTTGTTGACTGGATAACTTAATCAAGCCCGATTTGAAATCGCCACGCAAGTCGCCAACATTGGAAGCATTCATCAATCAACTGCCTTATTCCCGTTAATTTTTTTTTAAACTAGAACTCGAGGCACGCAATTTGGCCTCTCCGTTGGTCGTGCTCAAATTCCTCTCCTCCGTGGACGCCAAAAAATGCCACACATTCGGCAGCATCAAGGTAGGTGATGATGCACTAGCTAGATTTAACCCCTCTGCACTCCGCGTGCGCTTGCATCTGCAGACTACGCCAAAATCACGCCCGGAAGTTGGGCGTCAAACGACGGCAGTTTTGCGGCTTTGCTGTCGCCTCGTCTGCTCCCAGCCCACCGGAAGTTTCAGTGGCGCGCAATCCAATTTGGCACTCTTGCTGGGAGGGGGAGAAGGTCTTTTGTCTCTATTTGTGCGTCTCCTGACGACGCGTCGATATGTGGCTGTCGTGCGTGGTTGCAATCACCCCTGTGCAAAGTTGATTCGCACCAATTTGAAGTCGCTAACGATTTAGTTTGATAAAACAAGTGCGGTTGAAATGCTTCTCATCGATTAGGTGTATGGCCTAATTTGCACAGATTTTCAGCAAGTTTATTAAACATGAAGGAAGTGAGGACAACGACGTTAATATCTGAAATACCGTCCATCGTTTCCTATGACCTTGCGCCATCTCTCAGTTAAAACACGAACATCATCACAGGCTCCGAAGCGATCAAGTCTTTTTCGACGAATTCACACAGCGGTTTAGGGTGTTTATCCGCTGTAACAAGTGGAAGTCGGATGGGGCCGAGTCTGGTGAATATGTCGCATGCGGGAGAGCTTCCCATTCCACGTTCAAGAGGGTCTTGTGAGTCGCAACGCGAGCAACGTGACGTGGTCGATCGTTGTCATGCGGCATCAGCAGTATGACTTGCCTGCTTCCTTGCCCAGTAACTGGCCATTTCAGGTTGTTCAACTGTCGGCTGTGGCGTGTCGCGGTCACCGTCTGACGACAGGTTTCTAGGAGTTCGTAATAACGTAGACCCTTCATGTTCCACCAGATGCACAGGAGAGCCATCTTCAAGTGGATGTCCCGTTTCGCAGTCGATGTTCTGGGTTACCATCCGTCGCAATTTTCCGCAGGAGGTCGTTTTTTATTGTCGGCGCTCTGTCGACACCTGTGGGGGGACCCGACTTCCACGTTTTTGAATTTTTCCAGTTTGGTGGTGCAAAAACTTCGTGCAAGCACCGTTTGAGTGATGCCTAAGTGAGCTGCCAGCTCTTGTTGCGTTTGCGTTGAGTCTTCATCCAGCAGGGCTTGCAAGCTCGCATCTTTCAAATTTCGAGGCTGTCAGTTCTTACTAATAATCACACGTCACGCAAGACACAACGTCAGTCCAATGAACACTGCCACTCTGAATGCACGTAGCCTTGTTGTTCAGTTTTCTGATCGCTTTCTCCCGACCCTTTCGTAACCACAATAGACCGCGAAAACAGTAATATTTTAAGTATAAACCTTGTTGCGGACGGATTTCGATGGATATGTTTTCGGAGAATGTCGATGATGACATTAAATGAGCAACCCGCGTACCAGTAAACACACACACACACATTGGATGTAAACACAGCACTTCGGAGAGTGGCGTAGCTAGGATGACAATGATGGAGTCTCCAGATTACACCCCCATTGGCTGGAATCAATATCTGGACTAGTTTAGATAAGTTGCCTAGTTCTGCAACGGATCACAATCACTCCACGTGGCATAGAACTTAACTGGGCTCGAATTTGGCGCTGACCTCTAGTTAGCCAGTCACGAATTAGCCAGGGGGATTTGCATGGCAGACGAAGAAGCTAATAATTATTGTTCACAGTTTTGGATGGCAAAATGGCGTACAAATTTTCACATCTCACCATCAGCGCATGGCCACTTTCGTCGCAGGGGAAATAGCCTTGAGTGATGATGGTGATGATGGGGTCTCAAGGTTACAAATTGATTGGCTGGGATCAATCAGTAGTACTATTGGTAGTAATGCGCAAAATTACTCCACACCTGCAACCAGTAAGATCCATTTAATTCAACAGGGGGCTTGATTTGGCTTGAAGTAGAGGCCGATCCCGCGTCAAACCAATCAAGAATTTGCCGACAAGACACCGACGGTGATTGGTCAACTCGAGTGACTGCGGTGCAGTAGTCGAGGCATGCTGGTGGCTCGTATTTAAGTCCCGTCGCTGCATCACTTTATACCACTTTCGCGTCTTTTTGTCCTATTGTGTCAAATATCATTGACTGACTCCTCTTCAACGCTCCCAAAATTAATCCAAATCCGTTTGTAACTATCTTAATAGTTTCCTCGTGCAAGCACCGGTCAGTAATTAACCAGTTAGTGAGTCTAGAAGCAGAGGTACAGCTCATTTTCAATGTTCATTCTTGATGCCAGCCTAAGAATTTAAATGCCCGTGTAGTTCGCAGAACAGGGGGTTCAAGTTCAGACGAATAGTGGTGCTCGAGGCTCAATTATCTAGCTCATCTCTCCCAATCGATAATGGTGATGGCCGACACCCCTTCTCTCGACCAATGAGGATCGCATTCGATTAAAACGACAAATTTAACAGAAATGTTTTCTCGTGATACCAGTTCTTTTGAAAATTCACTCGTCAAACTGAAAAGAGAACTAACAGGACCTCGAATATCGATTGCTTCTCCCTTCCGCTGACGCGTTGGCAAGCTAAATTAGAAGGACCGGTCTCTAACCCCCACCTTGTCAGATTCTAATTCGCGACAATTTCGTCATTGACGGATCCGTCGACGCACTTGGTGGTGGTGGTGGGGGGGAAGGCGATTGGGCAGGGACTGTCAACTCCAAAATACCACGCTCTGGCGCGCGTCACTCAAGTCATCACCATGGTTTTTCCTCATGTTTTTTTTTCAAACTCGCAGACAGTCTGTTTACCCTGTCCCACTATTTGTGACTGGGTGCCGAGGTTTACGCGTTTTCGAGCTAAATCCACAATTTTTTTTGTCGAATTGGAATGGAAGCTGTAATTTTGTCACTGTGGCAACTTTTTTCTAGATATATTACCCACCCAACCAGGCGATCTAAAACTCGAAATGTCCTTTTTCAGTTGTGCTAAACAAATTTGTGTACGCCTTGCTTGTTGAAGATGTGGGCGTATTTTATGCATTAAAATCATATCGTGACATAATTTGGTTTAGTCGTAGAGTCAAATTGGTGTACAATTTGTTGTGTTTCCAAAAGGTTTGTAATTTCACACAAAAAACAATTCTTACTTAATCAATTTGAACTAAGTTTGTTATCAAACACGTGTTTTTGCACTTTACGCTTTAACAGAGCTTTGTTGAAACTACTTACATTTTCTTTCAGTAGTATTGAAAAGCCGATTTCAAACAATGGCGTGCTATAATAGATGTTAGGCTTAATTTACCAATAATAATTTCAAAACCACTTTTCATGCTTCTTTATTTGCTATTTCTTCACAACCTCCGAAGGCCCACATCCTGCGTTACCTAAAATCGAGCAAGGCGGAAATAGACGCTAAACAGGCGGAAATGCAGCGACTGCGAGAGGAGACCCTAAGGAATCGTGAGGTCGTGCGACAGAGTAAAACAAGGCAAGTCTCCCTCACTCCCATTGTGCATTGTGTGTCTCGGCGCCGAAATTGGCGACAGTTTGTCCTCCAGTTGTTAGGCGTTTCCGTGAGTCGTGCATTTTCATCTCGCCAATCGTGTTTCACCTCGCGTGGAGGTGTGATTCGATTGGTCAGCTAGTTACCCACTAATCACTGACTCATTGTGACTTCTCGAATCAACCAATGAGATCCAAGCTCCTGTTTTGGCAGCAAGTACCCAATCAGAAGCCGATGCAACTCGGCTGCTTATTGGGTCTGGTAAATCAGGGGGGTCATCGTCAGGACTCGAGCCGAGTAGCTCAGGAGGAGATCCAAGCAAATGGTTGCTGTGTTTCACCGGGGAACTTACGATTTAGTCTGTAAAATATTGAACATAACTACTCAAATGGCGTATGCGTCATTTCATTGGTTTATCTTGCGATTTCCTCGCAAAAGACTAATTTTATCGATTTCCGATGCGTTTCTTTATGACGGCAATGGTACAGCCAGGGTGACTTCTGTAATTTAATAAACACCAGAGCAAATATGTGCTTGTGGCCTTTTAGGTAAAGTGCTTTTGGATATTGAACGGAAAAACGTTATGCATAAATTTCGGCTCATTTTGAAATTGCCGCCCTGATGGATTCGTGATCGCGCGACTCACTTCAAGGTCGCGCGAACTCCTTCGCTTTACTTGACGACTACCGCCCTTTTCCCTCTTGTAAACCGTGGAAATGCGCGATGCGCCGTGTGTTTTTGTTTTAAATCACTCCCACGAAAGGCCAAATCACTTAAAGGCTTCCCCCAACGGACTGCGCGCGATCTTCAAAACAGCCGGGCGCAATTGGCAAAACTGGTTCACGAAAGGCAGCTTCTTTTGCTCCAAACGAGGCAACGAAATGTTGGCCAGGAGTGAGCGGTGGATCGCTAGTGTTAGGGGCGATTTTAACCTTTAAAAAAGTGTTCTGAGTTTAAGGGTAATTTGTACGGGGATCTGGTGAAACGGGGCCCTCGTAACTTGCTGTTTTGGCGGAAAAATTGACTCGCATTTACGGTAGCCTTTTTAAAAAAAAAGTTATCCAAAATAAGCAGCCTCGTGTTCGTCTCCTGTTAGCAGTTTTCAATTACCTTCGCTGGAAAAATAGACGTTTTAAGGTGTAGAGAAATCTTCACGACGGTCGTCAGCGGCCGTGTTCAAGATTTGGAATAAATGCCTGTGGGTGAACATTGTGCAACATCTTACACTTGCTCTCTGACCGTGTCGAGGTCCTTGTGAAGATCGTCTTGTGGACTTTCGTGGACTGCCAGCAAAAGCAGCTTCAAACTGTGGACTTCCAGATCCTGGAAGACTTTTACAAGAACCTCCTCATGATTCAAAGCGTTAACTGAAACCAACTTTTGTGTCTCTGCATAATGTTTGTTCGAATTTTTCCCGACATGGCTGATCTCTTCCAATCCAATCCAAAGCAGAACTACACAACTGGAAGTTTTTACCAAGCCATTCACCTTGATTGACTGCGGCAGGACGCGTCCAATCCGACGGCTTCGATTAACAAGAGTCACACACCGGACACTTGATGGTTTGATAGTCTAAGCGGATGTCAGCGCACTTGCATCGTGTCCCTGATTAATGCTGACTCACACGCCGACGGAAAGCAACACACAATCACGTTTATGGGAGATACCCCTTGCAAGCCTTTGAGAACTGCGAACATTTTTTCCCTCTGGCTACAGACAGCACAATGGACCTGACAAATAGGTACCATCTGGTTGACTATCAAAAAAACCAACTTGCAAACACGTTTGACGACTCCGGAAAGCTCTGACCTTTGATTTCGAAAACACTAGTTCATGTTTTTTGCAGAGAAATGGGTGGTGGTGGTGGTGGCGGTCAAGTTGAACAAACTTGTGACTTGTCTTGTTCAAATTTGCAATTTAAATACCAACTTAATTATCCGTATGGGCCCACTTGAAGCTCAAGAAATCTGGTCGATTTGAAATCGTGGTATCAAGCTCGGTTGCGCACAGACACTTCCAGTTAGGGTATATGAGGTAACCAATTTTGAGTGCAAATTTGAAAGCTGTTAACTTTCGTCACGGAATGATAGCGACTTGAGCGTTGTCCAAGCAAATTGTTTAAATTTGGACAACTTGAACTGATCTCGATGAAATGATGGCGAAGTATGTTTCCTTTTCTTTTCAAAGCAATTGCCGACTTGACAGTGAAGGTGACTGCTTTAGGCTGTGTAGCGTAACGACGCATGCAGCAACAATTTAAAGCCGTTTCGAGGTTAGCGATGTTGAGACGACGCGGTTTTATCGCTGGGCTGTGGTTTATGCGTGCCAGACAAATAATTACCACCCTTTAACTAACCAAACGTCAGCATAAATTAAGCGGTCAGCCAACATAATCACCTGCCAACTCAAGTAAATGTCTACGCCAAGTTTAATATCCACCAGAATTTGTAGACACCACTTGTCAAACTGAGATGCAGTCGATAATTTTTACGATCCTGTGGAGTGCTTTCAAGTCCCAGATCTGGATCTCCAACCACACCGAGTCTGACAATCGAACGCCGTGAGAGAGGAGGGCTTAGACAGCTCAAAGCCAGCTAGGTGTAAACAGAAATCCGATAATCGATTTGAAAATCGGTTTCAGACTAGCTCAGGTATTGATTATCCGGTTACTTCTGGCCCACCCTCCACTGTTTTGGCATTTTTGAAATGATTTCTGCTTCAGTTTTCACACTAAAAATGTGCTCTAATAAATATTTTTTTTTCGGATGCGTGTGTTGTATCAATTATAATCAGCCCAACGCAAAATCTACTTGGCTCTGACTAGCCAATCAAAATTGATCGTTGTCAAATGAACCAATCAAGTGCTGTCTACCATTTGTTTAAAATATCCAAACTCACGTAAGAAATGGTGAGGATGAATGACTTAATACTCGATGATACAGTTTTGCAAAGTAATTTTTGTGTGTAAATATCATCTTAACCTTCATGGCTACTTGCAATGCTGCTACACGACGCCTCCACAAGTTAACCCTCAGAGCCGTCCATAAGACTGTTCCCGTCGTTTTCATTGGTGAGGAGCCTCACGCCTACTTTCACTAGTCAGATATGTTTCCTAATTCTGCTTACGTGTCTAACCTCTCATTTCCATTATCTTGTCTAATGAGACCACAGCCAATGTAACAAAATCCCGTTTTCTCTAATTGTGTTTATCAGGGTGAAGATATTTCAACAGCAGAAGTGCGCCGTGTGCAGTCAAGCCCTCGACCCGCCGTCAGTCCACTTCCTCTGTGACCACTCGTACCACAAGTCGTGAGTTGCCCGCCTTTTTAGTGCACTCGACTCTCACCGGCATGTCCTACTCATAGCATTTTAAGTAGCATGTTGTGGTTGCATGGGCTCGTACTCGATTTCCGAAGACCAGAGTTTGCCTTTTTCTTCATGTTGGATGAGTAAAAAAAAAACAAAGAGTGAGTGTTTGAATTGCAGACTATTGTAAGTGGTTTGGTTGACTTGAAAACTGTGGCGATCTCAGTGTAAATGGTGAACTGAAGCGTATTTCTTCAACGTGACTTGGCTTCACCGCGACAAAGCTACATCATCTTCTTCATTTTCTGCAGACTAATGTGAATGACGCGGCTTTTATAATCGTTGGAAGCAGTCAATGGGCAAACACACTACTCCTGGGATAATGAGTCGGCAATCCTAAATGTGTATTGCAATTTAGGTCGAAAGTCGAGCGTGGGTAGTGTGCGAATTCGCCCCCAAAGAGTGATGTCGCGATGACATTTAGCTAGTGCTTGGGGAAGAATGGTGCGTTAGGTCAACCTGTCAAGCGTGTGTAGCAAAGCACACCGAGAATGAGACGTACCTCCGCTCAGAAAGTTTACTTTTTTTTCGCGCGTAAAGGTCGCTTAGCAGCAGACCAACCCACTGCTCTTTTCCTTACCTCCCTAGGTGCTTCGATACGTACTCCTCGGAGGACCAACTGTGTCCGGAGTGTGCTCCACTTATCAGGTGCGTTTTTTCCACATTCTGCATGCCAAAATTTGTCCCCACTGGGCGTGTGTTTTTGTGTGATTCACACTTCACACTAAGCGTTGATTGGTTCTGTGCTGAATGCGTGAATCAGTCTCCCACGATTTGGAAGTACCGAGAGAGAGAGACGTGGTAAATTTGACCGAATTTGATGGTCGACAAAACCATTAAAAATTTCCTATGCACACGTACATACCCACGCACCTGTTTTAGTGACCTCGTGTAGATATTTCCGGGAAAAAGAATCGCATGTTTGTTTGCGTCCTTAGGCGTGACCTCGTCGACGCACATGATACTTCTCTAGCTGGCGCTTGGTTTTTTTGCGATTCCTGCCTTCTTTTGATTGCCAATTCCTGACTAAATGGATGCGCTCTTGTGAACTGCGATGGCCTGAATGTGTGTCGATTCCAGTACACATCATCGAGGAACACCTTCCACCTGGAGACGCTCGATTCTTCCAGTGTATGCTTTCAAAATGTTTTCGGTAGCGAGGACTTCTCGTATTGTCTAATGAGTGCCTCGACCAACTGCTT